GCTGCTCCGCGGGAGAAAGATGAGGCTTTCTACTCCCATAAAGATTTACACCCTCGGAAACCCTGTACAGGGTCGCTATGGGTCGGACCCGACTCAACGGCACTTAACAACAACAACAACATTTATATTGGGTTTTTACAATGACAAAAGGGAGGCACTATGGGTTTTTCAAACTTTAGTCAAGATAGAAAACAAAACAAAACAAATTTCACAAAGTTAAATGCAGGCTAGGTCGTTTTTAAAGAGCAATCTCAGATTATGTGCATATTTTTTCAGCCTTTCTTATTTTTCTTACACAGCACACATAACACAAACACATGCATGTACAGGTATCTCTTCTACGTAAAGGCAGGGAAGTTAAGATTAAAATACTAATGTATTGCTGTTCTTTTAATTTCAACAGCTTTGTTAAAAAATAAACTAGTATCATAGTGAGAGAAAGAGAAATAAACATTACTAAATTTGTTTCCTTGACCTGAATGTTTATTTGTTGAGGGACATAAACATTATGCTTGAGGTGTGTTTCAATATACATGTTTCAAATATTTTAAGTTTTAAAATCAGAAGCATTCTTAAATTAAAAAAAAAAAAATGTTCACAAGATGTCCTGCTCAGCATTATGGAAAAATTTCAAAAACAAGATATGCCTGGAAAAAAATAACTTTAAAGAATATATTAGCTATTCCTTGGACACTTTTTAAGAAATGTACTTATATATGAAGCCAATGCTTTATAAAAGCAGAAACTTCTATTTTAACTTGTATTGAGAACTAATATTTTTCTGGAATTTGACTACTGTGTACTTACACTTTTTTTTTTCATGTTAAATACCTGGTTGAATTTTTCAAACAACAGAGCATCAAAATAAACAATCTGACAATATGAAGGGAGTTTCAAAAGTTGGTGGAAATTTTTCATTATCTTTTTATTCTAATATCCACCAATGTTTTGAAGGCCCCTGGAATGACAATCTGAAAATATAAGAATAACACATTTCACTTCTACCATACCACAAACAACAAAGCCTAATTTTCACTGATTTGTAAACATTTCCCCAAAACATTGTTTCTTAGCAAAAAAGTTTGTTTAAGAGAAATGTATAGCACATGAATTCTAGTTGTCCAGCCACTAGTCACTGTTTTTTTTCTGTCCTCCAACAAGGAAGGTCTAAAAATAATTTTGATGGGAGGGGAGGGGGATGAGTGTTAAAAGTAATAGGAGAGCACTGACAAGCAAAACTGAATCGCATTAGAATTTTGACTTCCAGAATGACAAGCTTCTGTTAAATTATTCTTAGTTTTTAGTAAGTATCTCAGAAAAGTAGCTGAGAATGCCCAGAAACAGCTGATAACAGGAACAAAACATACAAGACCCTCCTTGTCAGAACAGCGTGTCATCAGTGGTGTGTATGTATGTATGTATAAATAAATAAATGGAATTTCCAGTATTCCCTTCATTTGTGTACTCTCTCCTTCCTTCAAGCTCAAGAGAGACTTAAGTTTTACCTCGCTGTGATAGGAAAGAAATCCCGTGGACAAACCGATCAACTCTGAACAGGGTTTGGAGAGGCACAGATTTGAGGTACACTGATTCATTGACCACCACTCCTTCCTCAACACTTCGTGCTTTTAACTTAACAAACAACTCTGTTGAATGTGTTCCTAAATCCTTTCTTCCGAGTCCACATTGAGTTTGGACAACTCAACCACACCCAGCAGAGTAGTCAGTCGCTTCCGAAGTCACCGTGTAGTCTCCGCTGGTGATGAGCGCCCAGGGGCGCTGCCCTCACGTGGTGGCGGACCACAGCACTTTCAGCTTGGGCAGGCGGCGAGAGGAAAGCACCGCCCAACTAGGGAGGAGAGACCCGCGGCAGAGGGGAGGGGAGAACCCCGGGTGCTGAGGGACCGAGAACAGAGGCCGGGCTTCAGGTAGTGCTAGTGCAACTGAAATTCCGGGTGTGTTCACGGGAAGGAAACACAAGTTTGAATGGGGTAGCAACTTGGAAGGATTTTTGTTTTGTTTTTAGGTTTGTTCTTAAATGGTCGATTGTATCTGATTAGCATCTATTGTGAGTTTCCTAGGTTGTTACAATCCTCTTCTAGTGGGGAAGCCACACCAGAAGTTTCTGAGCAGGAAAGGAAGCAAAGGTATCCTGAGGTACCAATGTCACCTCCACAGAGGTGTACCTTCAGAAAATACTGCCCATGGCGATTAGTTTTAAATTGCTGAATGCTCTTTCAGCTTGGGACGTAACTGCGTTGGAAAATAGAAACTGCTCATTGACGTCCCCACCCCCACCTCGAGTGGCGCCCAGGGCACGTGCCTTACCTGCCATACCCTTGATTGCCTCTGCATCTCCACCTACCTTTTGGGGAACATTGCCCAATCCTTCTCAGCCAAGCGCTAGGGCACAGCAATCAGGAACTAAGCTAGGGGAGAGGAGTCCCTCCAGATGCGTAAAGCCTGCTGAACGTTGGTATTCAAGCACAGGGCAGACAGCAGTGTCTTTTTTCGCTTTGTTGGGATAGGGGGAGGGGAATCAGAACTCAGGACATTTCTCCAAAACTGGTGGGACTAGAGTTTGGCGTTCAATACCTCTAGCACAGTACTCCAGTCTACTCGAACTGCGATGGCTGCCACTGGGATGGGGGCTGGGGGTGGTTTAAAAGGAAGGAGGGAGAACTGGAGAACAGAAGGAGGGGCGGCGGAAGGATTGGCGAGGAAGGGAAGGAAACAGGTGAGCTCCCACAGCCACCCATTGGAAATCCAGCGAGGCGCTCCCCGGCGCACCACCATCCCGACCTGGACAGGCACTTACCAGCTTTACACGGGTCCTTGTAATCGATTGTCTCTGCTTTATCCTCTTCTTTCACATCAAAAGTATAATCATAATCGAGACCAGAGCAGACGCACAGTTCACCGCAGAAAAGAATCCCCGAGGCCACTAGCCACCACAGCATCCTCGGGGAAAACGTTTCCAACCCCATCCTCCTCCCCGGGAGGAAAAGGAGGGGACCGGACTTAGAGGTGAGGTGTCCGCTGTCCTTGTTGATGTGCGGAGTGAGGGGAACTAACCCTCTTCTTCCACCAGAGGCTTCTCGACAAGACTAGGGTTTCCAGGTGTCCGGAGACATGCGGATGCCGTTGGGACAGAAGAGAGGGCAAAGACTGCCTGTTACCCCCAGTTACTGAGAGAAGTTGGCCAGGGGCCCGCGGGTGGGCGGAGGGCAGGTGAGGAGCTCGGCTCCCGGGGGCGGGGAGCGGCGGCGGGTAACTCCACTCTGGTGGCGAGGGCGCAAGCAGCTTGCGGGGGGATTCCTTCGGGCGGTCGAACTTCCCGCGGCCGAACTTCCCGCGGCCGCGGCTCGGGAAGCGGCGCCCGGCGTACTCAGCTACTGCCGGAGCTGGAGCTCCCGCGCCGCGCCCCCGCCGCTGCCTGGACCCGGCAGCCAAGCAATAGCCGCCGCCGCCGTCGCCGCCTGCGCCCGCTGCCGCTCTGGGAAGATGAATCCGGTCTGCACATCAGCACATCTGAACTGAAAGGGGAGACCGAGGAAGGGGGTGGGGGGCAGTCATTTCTGCGCCAGGAGGCCTTAAAAGGCTGCAAAAGAAAGCTGAGCAACTGACTGCAAGGAGAGCAAAAGTGTGAGGATTTGGGGATGCACTATTTGCCTTCCCCCCCGCCCCCCCCAGGCTGGCTTTTACCCTCTTCCTAACTTGGAAAAAAAAAATCTTCGCAGCATCTAACCCAATCACTAGCATCCTGCTTACTTATTCATACAATCAGGGTCAAGATCCGGGCTGCAACCTCTTCTCTGACTTCTTTTGATAATCTTATACAAACAAACAGACAAGGAGTGCGCGGACAATTCCATTTATAGTTTACTAAAGATAAAAATGAATATTTACATATCTGCGACCATGCACAGAAATTAACAGATGATACAGAAGTTGAGAGTGCCTAACAGGGGTGGGGCGAGGGATCGTGATAATTTAGCTGCAAATCTCGATTTCCCTGCTCCCCCCCCCCCCAAATAAACAGCGAGTGTTTGTTTCTTTCCTTTGCAGTTATTTAACCTTAGTGCAGCCCTGGAGAAGAGAAAAAGTGCCTGAGTCTCCGCGATTTAGGTAAGGAAATAGACTACTTTAAAAGTCCCCTGACCAACAAAGTTTTGCAAAGAACTAAGATCCTCAGAACTGCAATTAAAAAAAAAAAAAAATCTAAAATCAAGTTACAGATTGCAGCAGCAGGAAACGTTACTAAGATGGGCTGGCGCTTTGGCTCACGTGGGCGCAGGAAGGGAAGTTGGACGGAATACTCGGGAAGCAAATTTTCTGTGACAGTTCTGGCGCCCGTGCCCAGAGTTGCTCGGTATCATTCGACTTAAGTTGTTTCACTCCTTCGGAGGTGCGTGTCTAAAACCTGGCGGCAGGAGCAGCGAGGTAAACCACATGTCAATGAGCAGACTCAAGACAAACACCGGTTGTGAGAAATTGGGGAGGGTAGAAAAAAATAAAAGCAAAGGAAATCTCTGCAAAACCCCTGTTGTGAGCAATTCCGAAAGGTTTCCCCACATCTGCAAGTAGTTTCCAAAATAGGTGAGACTTTACTTCTCCTCCCCCAAGCTTTCAAGGGACTGGCTATTGGGAGCCTTCTCTTTTCCAAATAAATCTTTAACTGTCACTTAAGCAGAGACTTGTAAAAAAAAAAAAAAAAAAAAAAAATCTTCCATTACTTTTACATCTTTATTTGACGTTTAAGTGCTCCCCTTTTCCAAGTTACCATCAACACAAAGTAGTTTTGTGTAGAAGGAAGTATGAAGCAGAAAGGAAATTAGTGGAATAAACACACATACAAACCTTTTTCAGGTAGAACCAATTAATCTTTGGGTAGGGGATTTGACCAGATTTTAATATGTTTTTAAGAGTAAAGTGACAGACTAATCATAACAAAGTATCAACTATCTCCAGCTTCAACTAAAAAGATGTGAGGATTGGATAGAACTAAACACATTCCATATTCTTCACAAAACTGGGGCTTCCACACAAAACTAGACCACTGTACTGACAGAGCTTCCCTTTTGTAGATTTTACACTTTTAATTCCAGGGACATACTGGCAGACAGCAGAATTGAAAATAACATATTCAATAAACAGGTAAAGGCATTTGGTTTGGAAATCTCTTGCTGAGTCATTCTCAAATTATTTTACCCATCCAGGAAGAAAAAAAAAATCTTTGCATAATTAATAATGGTGGTGTTATAGTTCTGCTGCACAAGACCTTTTTAAAGTGTTGAAGAGCAAAGATGTCAGCTTGAGGACTAAGGTGCACCTGACCCAAGCCATGATATTTTCAATAACCTCATCTGCATGTGAAAGCTGGACAGTGAATAAGGAAGATCGTAGAAGAATTGATGCTTTTGAGTTATGGTGTTGGAGGACAACATTGAAAGTGGAATGCATGGGCTACCAAAAGAACCAACAGATTTGTGTTGGAAGAAGTGCAGCCAGAGTGTTCCTTGGAGTCCAGGATGGCCAAACTTCGTCTCTTATACTTCGGACATATTGTCAGGAGGGACCAGTCCCTGAAGAAGAATATCATGTTTGGTAAGGTAGAGGGTCAGAAAAATCGAGAACAACCTACAGTGAGATGGATTGGTAAAGTAGCAGCATCAATGGGCTCACGCATGGCAACAATTGTGAGATTGGCCCAGGACCGGGCAGTGTTTTGCTCTGGAGTGCATAGGGTCACTATGAGTCGGTACAACAACAACAGCATCTAGAGCAGAACTAAATGAGAATGCATCCTGCTTATCCCATCTGAAAGTCTAGAAAACACAAATTTCCTTAGAGGAGCCCTGCTTTTGGGCTGCTGACACTGTCTTCCTTCACTCCTCACATCCTCGGTTAATCTAAATGTTCCTTGTTAATCTAAAATCCTGAAAACATCTCTTAAAACTATTTTATAATTTATAAATTTGCAGGTTTGTACCTGGAGTTTGCCTGAATATCACTTACTTTGCATGGATCATGTTTCATTCATTTCTCCTAAGAAAAAATGGTCCCACAAAAGATGAACAACTGCTTCATTATATTGTGATATTTATTATATCTTCCTTATACAATTTAGGAGCTCTGGTAGCACAGTGGGTTACACATTGGGCTGCTAACCACAAGGTCAGCTATTCCAATCCACCAACCACTCCTCAGAAGAAAGAAGAGGGTTTCTGCATCCATAAAGATTTACAGCACTTAATTTTAGAATTTTATAAATATATAATTGAAAAAGTCATAATCATTAACTTAGAATAAACACAAATTAAAATACAGAAATATATCTTCATGGATAAAATACTTGCAAGGAATATTATTTACAGTACAACTTTATAGGCCTCTACTCCTAGTGTCATGCTATAGGATAAGCACTGGATTGCTAACCGCAAAATCAGCGGTTCAAATCCATCAGCCACTCTTTGGAAAACGTAATTTAATTTTAGATATTATTTTAGCATATTCATAAAGCCCAAGTTCATAATATCTTAGATTTGAACATATATGGTGCTGTAGGATAAGCACTGGACTGCTAACCACAAAATCAGCTGTTCAAACCCATCAGCCACTCCTTGGAAAATGTAATTTAATTTTAGATATTATTTTAACATATTCACAAAGTCTAACTAAGTTCATAATATCTTAGGTTTGAACATATATGGTGCTGTAAGATAAGCACTGGACTGCTAACTGCAAGATCAGTTGTTCAAACCCACCAGCCACTCCTTAAAAACCCTATACAGGGTTATTATGAGTCAGAAATGATTCAACAGCACTTAAACAACAACACAGTTACTATTGGAGTCATGATGTGGTGTTGTTATAAGTACTGGCCTGCTAACCACAAGGTTGGTGGTTCAAACCCATCAGCTGCTCCTTGGAAACCCTCTACAAGGTAGTTATGAGTCGGAACTGACTCGACAGCATGTAGCAACAACAGTTACTATAATTGCAAACTAAAAAGATTTTACCAGATCCATGAAAAAAAATAAAATTTGGTAGAAATTGTTAGTGAGACAGAGTTGTGATCTCTCAAAGAATCTCCTCAGGAAGATTAAAAGATAAAAGATCAGATTGATTCCCTTGGTGATAGACTGATATCCCCCTGACCTGTAGTTGAAAACTTTCCCTGACCAGCATCTCTACCTGCAGCAAAACCTCATTATTGTTGTTAAGTGCTGTTGAGTCGGTTCTGACGCATAGCAACCTATATAGGCTGTCTGAGGAGCAGCTAGTGAGCTTGAACCATAAACCTTGTGAATCAGACTGACTTTGCAGTCTTGCACATTAGCCCAGAATGCCACACCAGGACTCCACAATTCCAGGCATTAAAACTATTGACAGTGAGAGCAAGAGGAACACTATACCATTTGGTATCTCTTGTTTACTCTCACAATAATTAAAATAAACTTGTCTAACAAATAATGTCAACTAGAAAAATCTGTTTTCCAATCTGGAATCCTTGGGTGATACAAACAATAAACAGGCTTGATTACTAACTGATAGATTGGAGGTTCAAGTCCACCCCAAAGGCATACTTCTGAAAAATAAGCCTCTAGAAATCCTATGGGGCACAGTTCTGCTCTGGCCATCATGCATTGGAACCAACTTGGCAGCAACTGGTGGTGGTGGTGATGGTGGTGGTATTTTCCAATTTAGTTAATTTGTTAAAAACTAGATTTGGTGTTTTAAAATATAAAGCCAAGTAATATATGAGAATTTTTCTCTCATGTCCCTTGTGAGACTAATCGTCTGAAACGTATGCAATAAAGTGGGACTGCATTTTATTCTTTCCCATGGCCCCACCCCTTCCCCGAGTCAACAATTGATAAATTGTGAAATGATAAGTATATACATAGATATATATGTGTGTGTGTATACCATGACTCTGTTTTATCTGTATATCAAAACTGTCTTATCTATAGATCAAAAACACAAATATTGCCAATTTCATTGGGTTCAGCCTATTGTATCTAGTTAAAAAATCCTCTATAATTACGTTGTTATTCTGAATTATCTTATAAAAATCTCAGTGAAATATTTTTAAATATTCTTTTCTCTGAGCCTTAATGTACTTTGACTTCCACATTTACTTTACTTTTTATATTTTGCATCCTATATTAAGGCATTCTAGTAGTGTAGTGGGTTACACACTGAGCTGCTAACCATAAGGTCAGCAGTTCAAATCCATGAGTCTCTTCTTTAGGGAGAAAGAAGAGGCTTTATGCTCCCATAGTGATTTATAGCCTCAGAAACTCTATACAGGGTCACTGTGAATCAGAACCAACTCCAAAGCACACCAACCACTAGG